CTACTATCTTTTTTTAATGGTAACTTAGGTTTTCCACTATAGTGAAACGTACATTGCAAATTTTACAGAAGTATATAATTAATAGACTTGGAGGATGCACCCGAAGAAGGAGTATTACATCGCTTACCTTGCTTTTAAAAGAAAATAGATACCCAACTATTACCGATACGCTTTAAACTGTAGAATTATGGTGTACTGCGATTTTAGTACTGCTCTAATAATAGACCTAATCCTAAAATTGTAGATTTGTCATGATATAGCTGCCTAATCTATAAGATCTTACGTGGAAGTCACATCATCGTCTACACTAACTCACTGTATCGTAAGAACTACCAATATGTGATGGAGAACAAGCTTAGGCTAGAGAAAGAACAATATATTCAATATGATTAAAAGATATTAGGTAACATTCCACAGGGACCACACCTGCATGTCCGATCCATGCCATCCGATCAACCCTGATTCATTCAACCTATTGTTCCCACCTTTTCCATCGTTAGGTATTTCTCCGCATTAAATACTGAATATCTATTTTCCAAGTAGTCTCGTGTTCAGCTTTGAGGATTGTGTGGTTATGTAGAACTATGGTCTACTATGATATTAGTACTGCTCTAATAATAGACCTAATCCTAAATTTGTAGGTTTGTCATGACATAACTGCCTAATCTATAAGATCTTACGTGGAAGTCACACCATCGACTACACCAACCCACTGTGTCGTATCAATTACCAATACATGATGTAGAACAAGGTTAGGCTAGAGAAAGAACAATATATTTAATATGAATAGAAGATATAAGGAAACATTCGGCAGAGACCACGCCTGCATGGTCGAGCCATGCCACTCGATCAACTCCAGTCAATTCAATTCATTGTACGCGCTTTCTCCATTGTTAGGTATTTCTCCGTGTTAAATATTGAATATCTATTTTCTGAGTAGTCTTGTGTTCAGCTTTGAAGATTGTGTGGTTATGGTCCAATGCCACTACAGTTATGATCCAATGCCACTAAAAACCCCACTACTGATGATTTTTGGTTGGACAATTGTGCATGTCCTCAGGACACTTCTGATGCCCCTTGGTAAGTCCGGAACCAGGTCTCGGAGTCATTCAGAATTCGATCAGCATCACTGATGGTGAGAAAGCTTTTTGTAATTAATTTCATCAGTTCATTGTTGATCTGCTTTTTACGACTTACGTACTTTTGAGAGCATAAATTAATGTCATTATATCCTATAAAAAATATAATAACGTATTGAATTCATGTACATACCATTATTATCCAGAGACCTTTGAGTGCTGTAGCTATTGGATGGTGTAACAGTTGAAGGATTCTTATCACAATTAATTTCTCTATCGAGTGCTATGAATCGAACATACACCACTGTTATAGTCAGTTACCATTGATTGTGCTTTCATCAGCAAACTGAATAAACGAAAGCAAGTTATGTTTTTTCATGAAAGCTGTTCGTATTTCATTCTGCCGTCTGTGATAAGTCGATCTGTGACATCTGAGGACGCTTGACAATTTAATAGTGGCCCTACGTCCACGAGCTCGGTGACTTTAATTGAACTCACAGTAATTGACTAACAAGGTAATTAGTTATAATGAACATGAAAAATGGAGAGCGCGTCGCTCACCTGCATCACTTTAGTCATTTGTGATGGCTACCAAGCATGTCGGAACACTTTAGCTAAACAAAAAAACGAAGTCAGTGTCTATGCGTCTCAGCCAAATCCCTGTGTTCGTATTTTGTTACTTGTGTTTACGACAATAGTTTTGTTTTTTATTAGGCGGTGCCTTATTTTGCTGACGTTTATGAAAACATAAGTACGAGATGCGGCACATCCAAATTTGGATGTACAACTTGCTTTTATTCGAATAAAAGCAAGTTGTAAAGATCGACCACGCGTGCAAGGCCGAGCCATTTCGTCCGACCTAAGCGAATTAATTCAAGTCATTGTTACCGCCTTCTCCGTCGCTAGGTTTTTATCTACATTCAATGTTGAATATCTAGTTCTCCAATTGTACTGTGTTCAACTATGAGGATTATCTAGTTAGGGCCCAATGCTACTACAAATCTACAACATAGGTTAGCCTTTATGCATATTTTATTCACAATTCCAAATGGTGGCCTATTCCAATTTACTTATCCAAGAAAACTTATGCGGGACGAAGTTTTACGGCATGTTAGACCTATAGCGTTGTATTTTAATCAGTGTAGTGTGGTTCCTTAGATTAGCGAATCGGTGAAACCAACTATCAGGTTTGAAAAGTGCTGTAATCGGTGTATGAGATTGGAGTGGACACATGGTTCAGCCTAGATCTCTTTTCCCAAAGTGATTCCAATCTCAATGTGTCACATAGTAAAGAGTGAATTTTGACACAGCCTAATATTAAATAGTTTTATTGAAATATCACTGTGTTCCTTCGACTCTCAACTTGTCATACTAATGAATATGAACGAACGACTACATACCTTATGTAGTGTTAGTTTGGACTTATACTCATGGAAACAATGAATTATACAATTCACATTAGGTTCTGTAGACATTCCTATTCAAGTCTATAGAGAGCTTCGTAAAAGTAGTTCAACGACTTTCGAGTGAGGTAATGCGGTTGTCACTTGAAGAACAACAATTCGTTCTTCTTCAATCACAATTTCATTTATTAAGCCATCAGTGAGTGATTCACGTTCACTGAAGATAGTAGTAGAATGCTTTCATTGATAAAGATAATTGTGTTTGGTTACTTTACTAAAACGTGTCACCTTTGAGCGCGTCTTGATGTCCTTGAGATCACGATAATTACTGTCGTCCAATCGAACACCAGGTGGGAATTTATACGTTGATTTGTTGACGTCAAAATCGTTGTTTTGTACATTCGTTTGACGTTCCATCTCACATTGTATAGTGACTGTATAGGTTCCTGCTTTGTTAAAACGTATCACATTTCTACTTATATGAGTGATGTATACACCATATATATCCATATATGGGTATTTTTCTCATGTGCGAAAAGGAGTAAATGCATTTATCATTTGGAACCCTAGGATCAGACAAACCACTACCTGGTCGTCAATGTTATCTTATTCCAACACTTATGTACATTTTTGCCTTTAAACTACAATTATGCTAATAATTGTTACGATGCATGCATCGTAAAGTCACTTCAATGACCACTTTTAATCAATATTGATCTGCATTTGCCCTAGTTACCTCATCAATAACAATGTATTTAAATTTGGAAACGCATTAGATATTTGCCTTTAATAGACAAACTGAATCTACATAGTTCTCAACAAAAATAGAAACTGTTCCACATTTTATTGGTGCCCTCAAACAATGCTAAAACCAAATAATTACCAAACCATATGTTCTCTGCCCAAATTGTAGCGTACGTCTCTAGTAATTAAATCCTTACAGACTACAATAGATATACTCATTACTAAGACTTATAAACTGCATACATTACGTCTTTTATACACTTCAGGTACTTCTGAATAATAAAAATCACTTTTAATCAAAATAAACTATCCAACACATTTAAAATCCTACTTGTATCTTTTCATGCCTAGCACAAAGGTACTTTAGGTTCTACAGGGATATTGAGAGACGTATGTGTAAGGAAAGATGAACAGAAGAACTAAAGAATGAATGAACTGACAACTCAGCAACCAAGTAGCGTGAGCTTACAATTAGTGATGGCAGCAACTAGCAGCAATCAACGATAGCATGAGCCTGGGACATCTCGTTAATTGCAACCAGAACTGCTGTTATGAGGTTTTAAGTCCTTGTTTTGAGTAATAGTTTGTCATGAATTTATGATTATGCAGTGTTAACTACGACGATTTATGTTTGTTGGTAGACATAGTTGCATTTTGCGCCCGTAGATAGTAAGCTGTTCCTGTATTCCTTTTTCGGCAATTTTGCTAATGGGTTAACATCACTTAACTAGCTATTAAGCAAAAGGTAAGTTAACTGCATAAAAGTATATTTGTTAATATGCAGATAGGATTTACACAACCTCGCCAGTTTTTGATGCATGAATTGTTGATTTCGTCGCCTATTTTTCCACTGTTTTTAGTTTATGTCCAAATTTGCTTATGAGCTGCAAATATAGAAATCATAATGATGGAGCATGTAAAGATCTCATGCTTTTCTTTGCAGTGGGATAATGTTGTGGTGTAAATCCTTTTCCCGTTTATCACAAGACTCTCATCCATCAATTTAAAGCTATGATCTTTGATAAGTGACATGCTCAGATGGCTAGTGTTTGACTGTAAGTGCCTTTGAAGAGTTGTTTGCATGTGGGAACTCATTTACCAAGCACAACACTTATGTACTTGGCTCTAGGACTTGGTTAGTACTTAAGAGATGCTGATATTTGCTTCATTTCTAGACCAGATTAGAAGGGGCACTGTTCGAACCCTCGATTTATTGGCAGTGTTATGTTTTAATGACAACACCATATAACAAAATATAATTTTACACTCCAAGATCATTCTGTATCTGTAATTTAGCAAGAACCATTAAACTACGAAAATAGGTTCGACGATACACCGATTTCATGAAATTCATTCCAACTTTAAGAGCGATAAGCTTTATTAAATTATTATTTGTCGTATTTACAGCAAATTGGTAAAAATGAGCAGGAAACGGAATGAATTGAGACTAACTTAAATTCCACCAACCACCGTTGTCATTCAAGAAAAGCCAAAGTTATATTGTATTTGAAATCACCTTTCATCGGTATTTTTATGCAGTTTCATGGTCGGTATATGTTTTGGTGAATTGTGCTAATTTAGAGTAGATGAGAATTTGTTACAAGTCTTGCCCTATTTATACCTGAATGTCTTATATGTGTTCTCTCATTTATGGTCATTTCAGTGTTCGTTTGGTCTTACTTCGGGGTTAGGACAAACTATTTTCATTGTTGTATGAGATCTATGTACGTTCTGTACAGTTTATTGTATGCCTTCAATGTCGTTTTTTGTAGAGATGTTTGTTAGTTTGGCAGCTGGAGCATTGTTTTATGCATCTGGTAAAGTCGTGCATGGTTTTGGAAGAGGATCAAAACAGCTGGGAATTCCAACTGGTTTGTTGCATGTTATCGCTTATTGCTTTATTGGTGGTCTATGTAGCAAATCTTGAAGAATCTATTGTTACTGAAATACCAGACTCAACTAAAAATGGTATTTACTTCGGATGGGCTAAATTGAGCAACACTCCAGTGTATAAAATGGTGATGAGTATTGGATGGAATCCTTATTTTAAAAATATCAAGCGTTCTGTGGTCAGGAAATCCTTTTCCTTATCGTCTAATTTATTATAGGAAGTCCATATACTCCATAGATTTGAGGAGAATTTCTATGGTGACACAATTGAAGTAATTGCCGTTAAGTACTTCAGACCTGAATATGACTTTCCAAGCATTGGTAAGTTGATTATATTTCACATTTATTTTACCTGAGCTGAGATCATATACAGATAAGCTTGCATTTCAGTAACCAAGTACATTTATGTGCATAAATCTATGGATAATACTTATCGTGCTAGGAGAACACTCGAGTTATTCAAGTGTTTGCACCTTAATTTGAGCTTATGATCCTATTACTAGTGGTTGAGAACTTGGATTGTTGACGATGACGTTAAGTTCTCTAGGTTATTCGCCTCATAGTAGCTTACCGTCGTTATAAGTTTTGGTTTATAAATATATAAAGTGATACGTTTTATTGGGAGCAGTGTGATGTATTATACCATGGAATGCTTCAGCTACTCGTCTTTGTAATTGGGGAAGCAAATTCGAATTATTTAGACAGTCTCAAAATCGATGTGTTTATTTAATTAGATGACAACTGTTTCTACTGTTGATTGTACTGGAAAATTTTCAAGTTATACAGAGCTGTCAGATTTCCTCGTATGACTTAAATGAATTTTGGTGCGATTCGAAAATTTTTGGAAAAATCTCTTAATATAAAAATGGGGTATTATCGACACAACATAATCTGTAAACACCTGTCTGTGCTGAAACAAAAAGGATTTTATAATAAACATTTGTTGGTTGCTTTGCAAAAGATTTAGTCCTTGCTGATCTTAGAATTCATTATAGTTTTGTTATGATTGATCAATAAAATAAAACCACTGCCCATCGATGTAGTTTGTTTCGACTACTGTATTTTGGGAACACAGTATCACTATGAATTTTTTTTAAAATCTAACTAAACAAATAATATGTATCGTTCTCAACCAAACCATCATTTTTATCATATAAATATGTAAAGTATCCGGCTTTTAATAAGTGAGTTATTTGTTCAAATCATATATACTTCGATCTAGGCTAATTAGTGGCATTATTAGTCGTCATATACATGCTGAACACATAAAAACGATAAAGCCTCCACATGCTCTGGTACGGCCGAGATAGGGGAGAGTCGGCTCTCCCTTAGTTATCATTATAGAAAATGAATACTAACTGGTGACAAGAAGATCACTTGATTAAGTGTGTGTGTGATCAGTTGATTAGTGTTGATCCATGTAAAGACAAATAGATTATTATATATAATATAGTTATGTACAGCTCGAACACGCCAAAGTTGACCTATTCCGCTTACACGACAGTCATACTCATTAATATTAGCAATGGCGACATGCCTTACAATGTCCCAATGACAATGGCTCTTGAAAACAATCAAAAGCAACCAGCAAACCAATTTTGTGCATGAGCAGTCAGCAAACTTGCTAAAGTAAAGCCGAACCATTCAAAATATCAATGGCGAACCTTCAGTCTCATATGAGACCTTCACTGCTACATAGCAATATAGCCCTAAGTAGATTACTTTTCACATAATAATTATTACTAAAATTTATATGTAAGCATTCTTCAGGAAGGCAGTTTTCAACATATACTGACAAGTGTTAAGAATTGAAGTGCCATACAGTCCTATTCTTTCCTAGTTTGGGAATTTTTAGCCGTAAGTATTTATGACTTGGTATGGGAGTATGGGACAGTATCCAGCCCTTATACAAATCGAATGATTTATGTAGCGCATATCTATTTGGTGCCTTCTTGTACCAATGTTTATGTGTTTCAACAATAATAATAATAATGATAATAATAATAAACACATAAAACTTATATTTGACAAATGAGCTATTATCAACGAGATGGACTGTATGCATGTTGTAATGCTTAATTTGTTCGATTGTTTGATTAAACTGTTAACTACTTACATAATAATGAATGTTTTCTTTCTTGCTAATCAGTTTATTCCTTTAACTTGTTGTTGTTGTTGTTGATAACTTTAGCGGATTTAATTAAACAAATACATACAGATATATGTGAAGCTAATTTATTCCTTGATAAATCAGAAGCTTTGGTCTGGAGTAAACATGATTTGTTCAATGGAAAAAGATCGATGATCAACTATAAATGTACTTAACAGAAACACGTTCATTATATCTTCTTCTATAGAAACTAATCAATTGTATATAGATAGATTTATGCGCGGATATGTAAATGATAGTTGATGGTGGTGTGAAATGAGATCAACCCCATTTTGACTTATTTGATTTTTTATATAGTTTTCTTATTATTATCATAATTGTTCTGGCACGTTTTAACTTGAATAGAACTGTATTATGGTTTAATAATTTAGTTGTATTATCCATATATCTATCGGTTAACAAGCAATCGCCAATGATGTATGATACATATATATATACTAGCCAATTCTCTGAGTTGTTTTCCGACATTTCTAGATTAGGAAGGGCAAAGAACAGTGTAGGAAGTGTTATTAATAATCTGTCAGTACTTATATTTCTCATGTTTTATTTATGTGTAGTTAAGGCGATCTAAATAATACCAAAATCTGTATTGAAATATGAATTAGTGAAGGATTTATTTGCCCATATTATGTCTTATTCTCATATTTGTATGCTTGCTGTGTAACTTTGATACACCCCATGTTCTAGGCTTAGTAGTCTATTTATGAATGTGCTTATCGGTCAATTGAATAATGTGATATGTACAACATTCCTGCCTGTTGAGTCCAGAATATCAGTCTCAGCTTCCGCAATACGGATAGTGTATTTCAAGCACACTGAGTTCATGTACAAGCCAAACAGACCACATCGTACCATAAAATAGAAAATAATATATGTACAAAATCTAGCCAAGTGTGGATGTGAATGTGGGGGACTGTAATTAGTAGACTGGGTATAACTCAAGAGTGGTAAATCGTATAGTAGTAGTCTGTGGGTCGAAATAAAGCTCATAATAAGAGAAACATGAATATGCGTAGTTTAGTTACTTAACAATTATGCAATAAAAAAATATATGTGTAGTTATTAGTCCAGAAATAGATCGCAACAGTTACCATTCATTCTTCTCATTGGGATATAATAGATAATTAGCACAATCAGTCCTGTGTGGTAGTGAAAGTAAAGTATGATTAGTCGTTGAGTTTGGGCAAACAACTACAGTCTATGGATTATTAAATATGTGATTTTCCTTCCTGTCATTGATTTCTACTCCAGACTCATTGTATGTGATTGCTTGTTATTGCATTGAATAAAGTATTCTCTAGTATTAACCTGGTTCTCTATTTTGGGTCGTGAATCCTGGTCCTGATCTAACGTAATTAGTCTTATTGACGCATTAATTTATTATTGTCATATACGTGTAATAGAGGACAATATCGTAAACCATCTATTACATCATATCCAGAAACAATAAAGTCACTTAATCACAACAAGTAACCATTAGAAGTTGTTTAAAAGGTCTCATCTCGAGAGAAAGGTGTTCAATATCAGTAAAGCAGTTCGTGTTGAATTCCACATACGTTTTATGATATTTCTCTGACAAAATATTTGAAAAGTAGTTCAATATCTTTACTGCAAACAAATTATTTAGTATAATACTGTTAAGTTCGCTACTTGATTAACGCGGAATCCGGTTTACAACTACGACACTCGAATGTTGGAAGTTCACCGTCGCAAATCAGAAGACAGAAGAAAAGCTAAGGAAGTGTTTATTTGGTAAGAAACGAAATGTATTTGAAATCACGGGTATTTATAGATATTAGCATTTGTTAAATCAACATTATAATTCGGCCAATCCGTAAAGAGACATTTTATGCTACTGTCCAATGTCAACGTACCACGTTGATATTGTAGAAAGCTCCATCGTGTTCTGATTGGATAGAAACACTTCGGCTCCTTTAAGGGCTCTGGAGGCTCCATTGTAGATCTCGGATTCAACAAATACATTTTGCACTAAAGTCATTTATCATGCTCATCCACGTTAGAAGATTTTCAAAGTGTCAAACAAAATTCACCTCAAGATTTGAATTTTTTCAAATCACCATTTCAACAAGATCCACTTCCTCAAACATTAAAGTACAGGTGGATATGTGTTTGTGTGTGTTTATAATGAGAAGACAAAGTTTATCAAAATCATGTGATGATATTAACTCAATACATTTCGAACTGCCATCCGATCAAACATTGACCTTATATTAGAAATTTATGTAAGAAATGGGAGATGTTACACCAGAAAAATATGCACATGAAAACAACAAGAGTCAAACACATTACTTGTAACATCTATAGTACATGAAAGTCAATAGTTACCAGAGTAGATTTCATTCAGCTACAAATTGTCTTTGAATATATAAGGGCGTTTAGAATTTTCTTATAAGTATGGGTGTTACCACATCATTATCCACATTTGATCACTTCTGTACAACAATATAAACGATATACATTGTTTAAGTATTTCTCGAATGTTGTATATAACAGATAATTGATTGTTGTCATAGTTGTTACAATCTAAGACTTGATGAGTGTCACGATGATGTGTCAATTCCAATTTATTGAATAGAGAGGGATGAAACTGGGAGAAAATTACCATCAGGAATGTCAAAATTTCGTCCCTGATCCGATCGATAATTCACTGTTCTCTAATTGGCGGTATCGTTATGTTATACATTACCAGGGCACCTAGGCCACATGTTGTAACACCAATTATAAAGGAATCATGAGTTCATACAAACAACACAGCAACTCAATTACATAACTATAACACATTGCAAATAACACACTACATTGTGTACATAAGTAGGTTATTTATGGTTTGAAACTGAGCTACGTGTTTATGATGAATTCACTATAATTTAGGGACAGTAAAATTCATTACAACAGTTACGGAATAGAACGAATGCTTATAATGATATCCGTACAAAAATATCTCAAATCAAGTATTTAACAAATATACAATACAATTACGTGTGATAATTCTTCATAGAGTCGTTTTAAAAGTTCGGTTATTTCCAGTTATTCCTATCCGATGTATCGATAATATCAACTCTATGGTCTTTGTGATCCCATGTTTGTACTGTCAAAGAATTCACAGTTTTGTTCAGTACTTTAATTTCCTCTAAAGTGTTTTAAGCAATTTTTTGAGCTTCCGTAAATGTTGGTTGCCCAACATTAATATTCATTAAGAAATCTATATATGAAGTAGTGGACAAAATTCTGATCAGCGCTAAAACCTAAGCAAACAGGCAATTGCTCACTACTCAATTAATTCGTCGTAAACAAATCATTTCTACATCAGATCAGTCTCAACCTGAATATCTCAGTGTTAACGTCTCCGACGAGGAAATCGAATAAAGTTGGTCCGAGTTCCGCGAAGAACATCATTTCCCTTCATATCATTCATATACTCTGTTGAAGAGTATCAGTAAGCACGATATCTAGATCAGGCAAAGCTTTCTAAACAATGTCTTCTACCTAATAAGGCTCAAGGAAACCCATTCTGGGTCTATGAAAATTCATTTCTTTCTTTGATTTACGTTAAAAATGAACAATAATGAGAGCGGAAAAATGAATGTATACATATTAGTTTAGAGAATTATGAGGGTTGACAGGTTTAACAATTCAAACTTGTAGACTTACTTCATTTAAAGAGCCATTGGAATATAAAAAGCATAAGACAACTACTTCATCTTAATATGAAACTCCTCATCGATATACATATACGACTCCGCTAATGATCAATCTCACAGCCATCAGGTTTTCTTGTCTAGTTATTTTAAGGAATTATTTATCACTACACATCCATCAAAGTTGCCAATTCTATAAGGATATTAATGTTAGTAACATTTTTTTCATGGTACGTGTTTATTGTCTGCGGGATAAACACTCCGTGACAAGTGGAGCTAATTCGTGTCGCATAGAGACAGGTATCTACCTCAGTACAATGGAAGATGGTCGCGCAATTTCATGGATTGGTTGAGGTTAGACATTAACACCTTTGGATGCCGACTCAGTAGTCTAGAAGTTAAGCGTTCGCACGCGAGAGACTGAAGGCCCTGGGTTCGAGTCTCTCAAGCAGGATCGTTGATGGGCATTGTTGTGGAGTCCCACAATAAGACGAAACGGCCGTCCAGTGCTTCCAGGTTTTCCATGGTGGTCTAGCCTCGATTGACTCATGATCTCAACAATTGAAATTACTAAAATCTCCACTAAACCCCCTTCTGATAATGCTCGTTCATTTACTTCTTCATTACTGTTTCACATGTTTATGTTACATTTGGAATATTGTGGTAGGCAATACCAAATATTCCGAAATTCAATTGTTGAATACGATAGATTGCAGCTTCTGTATCATTATTGATGGTAAATAAATTTTCCTTTACAAATGCACAATTACAATTAGATAGTTGTGGAAAAAGGGTTCAATGGAAATGAATTTAGTCCATACTTATCATTAGACTATGTGGTGTACCAATGTTACTGTATATAAATATATGAACTGAGTAAAATAATTTTAACAAAGCTTATTAGTAGCATCATATTATTCATTCAAAGTATAGTGAGCTTACACTTACACGTAGATGTATACTGGTTCGGACAAGTATGAGGCAAGATATTGATATGGTAATTAACTAAGGGAATCTGATTCCAATAAATATTGATTTTTACTCGTTCAAATGGTTGATAATGTGTGTTTTTATTCATGTATAATTTGTATCTATGTTTATGACTACTGTAGGAAATAAAAACCAGCTTCTAGCTGAACGGCAAATTAGGAGAAGACGTTGGAGGTGGATAGAACATACAATACGGGAATTATTCAACTGTATCACAAGGCAAGCGCTTAACTGGAATCCTGAAGGGAAACGGAAAAGAGAAAGGCCAAATAACACATTGAGTCAGGAATTGGAAGCAGACATGAAAAGGATGAATAGCAACTGGAAAGAACTAGAAAGGATTTTCCAGGACAGAGTTGGGTTGAGAATGCTTGTGGGCGGCCTACTCTCATCTACGAGGGGTAAGAGGTGTAATTAAGTGAGTAAGTATGAATAATGGTATGTTTGTCTGTTTAATCGGATTAAATGTTTGGATGACGTAGACATGATAAAAAAATTCACGGAACGATTAATGGCCATATCAGTCACCAATCAAACCTTATCATGTCATCCGCAAACATCACAAAACCCATGTTTCATTCAATCTCTTTACTTTATACTAATGGTCTCTCGAGTCGGAGTGTTTGAAATACTACTGTTCCGTATTAAACATACTGATATCATATTGTCATTTGTGACCACTCACCCAAAGGTCGTCCATAAATTATAGTCTCACCCTTTTCTCTTCAATTTTCTCAACTTTTTGACACTAGGCATTTCACTATCGATTGATGATACATACTACTTATATCTGTTAACATCAGATACCATACACTATACTACTACTACTACTACTACTACTACTACTACTACTACTACTACTACTACTACTACTACTACTACTACTACTACTACTACTACTACTACTACTACTACTACTACTACCTTGTTTTCAGTAGTCTCTGAATTACTGATTAGTATTATTTAATTTGTTTTGTAAAAGATAGTGAATAGATTAGCCTGCTAATCTCACAATATCGATCACGATCACATCATTAACTGCTAATCAATGAAATTGTTACTAACTTTGATGAAATAATGAATACATCGTTAAAATACAGACTAATGAAATAGAAAACTCGTTTTTTCTTCTATGAACTTGAATGAAGTCATTTGTTTACAGAATTTTTCAGTGAATTACTATGCAAAGTTAAGATGCACAATGTCCATTTTCAAAGAAAAGAAAAACTGTTTTGTGTTCTTATATTCATCAATTACAAGTTTATGTATTCGACTTAAGGAGGGAAACTATATTTCATCACCTCAGCTGAATCCTGAAAAAGCGGGAATATATTTTGGAATAGGAAGGTGATAAAATGAGATATAATAAGGATATCATATGTGTTGGGGAGATCCAAAAAACTCCATGAAAAAAGCCAAGGGAGGTTCTGAAGACACTGAGAAACATTAACGTTCACTAGAAGTTATGCCAGAAACATCAAGAATGTGAAAAGTCATATGTAGAGTTTCTGATTGAATGATTACTTACACTACTAGTAGGTTTAGTAGCATTCTAGAATTTTTCGGAAACACAAGGACATTTAAAATACTATAAAAATTATAGATTTTCTGTACATAAACGAACCTTTGGAGTAAAGTGTTTCTTGAATGTTTCATGCCTTTTCCCGTGTGTTCAAATAGTCTGGGGGTTACTAGAAGAGCTTAGGAACCAAATCTAGCGTTCAATTAGGAAGACTCATCAATGTACATGTATTTACATTCCATCTGAGGGTTAAGTTGCAAGTAAGAAATTATAAACACGGGAATCTACTGGAGGTAATCGACTATGCACCAAATCAATATCTCAGCCTACACATCCTTATCAAAGTTAGAAGAACAATGGAATATGATTGACATACATTAAAATTTGGTCTGAAAATTAAACTAGCCACCTCACTCTTCAGTCTCCTCACTTGCATCATGTTTTTATTGTAGTGTCAGATGTATATATATCGTAAGGGAATAGGACTACAGAACACTACGTCCTGATAAATTAATCAGACTGAACTGGATGAAATGAAGTCTTAGCCTTTGAACTAACAGATAATCTATCTTTTGACTTATTAAATAGAACTGAAATTCCTGTGTTCGTCTCCTAATAGAGTCATGGATGGGTTCGACTACAAGAGTCTCATATAACTGTCTGCTGATTCTTGGATTCTAATAGTTATTTAACTAAAATCAGTCTCTGATGTGAATTTATTGGTGAATTAAATGGTCTTCCCAATATTCCCATAATAAAGATTATTCTTATTCATAGAAATATTTAATTATATAGTTTCTTACTTTGCTATTCATCTATCGATAAACATGAGAATACCACACTAATGCATTAAGATTAAAGTAAAAATATTTATAACTCCTCCTGGAGCCCCTCTGTGGCTAATGCCAGTTCTGAGCTCGGATAAAGGAGTAGGGCTGGGCATGGGGTTAGCGACCCCATTCCGTAGAAAACTAACTCGTTGAAGAAACGCTAACTAGAAAAAATAATTCAAAACATTTAAACTCTGCCCTGGGAGTTAGAAGGTCTTCATTTAGTGAGTTATGACGCCTCATGGTGAAAGCCGAAATCCTTCGGAAGTCACGACGTTCCGTCCTATTATGGGACTCCACAGAAGTGCACCATGGGTTCTTGGATGTGCACTGACGAGCAGTCCCACAATAAACCAAAACGACCGTTCAGTGCATCCAGGTTTTCAATGATGGTCTTACATCAGTCGGTTCATGATTTCAATCAGGAACAAGACTGTTTTTCTATCTCCTTCTTTCTGGCCCACTAACCTCAGTAAGAACTTCATGTTTGTTTCAAAATTTTCTTGATAGAGATCCTCAAAATAATTGAATTATATTCGAGTATATTCACATTATATATTAACTGACCTAGTGATTATTAATTTCAGAGTTTTATCAAACTTAGCAATAGTTGCAGTGGATTCGTCATTGTGATGAAAACGGATCGAAAAACAAATAATTAACTGTATAATTTATGAATTGAATTCCTTCGGAATTAGTTCATACAAAGGAAATGCATTGTTAGTTAAGTGAATGGAAATCGTTGTAAATAAAGTTCAATTGTCTTCCTGATATGTTGTATTTGAGGATTTAGAAATATAATGCAAGATAATTATATAAATAGAAGTGATAAAGGCGTATTTTATTGTAGTAGTTATTTTGTATAAATAATCGGATCTACCTAAACTACTTACTATTAGTAAGTAGTATATTTCAAAGCAAAGCGAGGTATTTTAGAGACGATAATCATTTAGGTTAAACTGTAGCTCAGTGGGTTTCGACCTTGTTCTGAATAAATGTACCATACTCGCTGACTGAAAAGGAAGAAAATGTTTTAGATTTTCACATTTACATTTATTATGAGTACACATTACTTAATTAGTTGTCCATGAATACGAAACAGACACAACTACTTGAAATGCTAGTCGAGTATTGACATATCACCTACCTATACTCACTCACATGTCGTCTAAACGTTAGATATTAGGTGAAAAACTATGAATAAACCCAACTACTAGAGAAAGCCGGTCAAAGGTTACTTCAATGTTTTAGGCTTAATGCTTTGGTCAGAGAATGGCAATCATGTATATTAGTATGGGTGATTTGTGAAGATTGTAATATTTCCACAGTTGAAGTCTTGAACTGTTCTTAGGTACACCACGATTAGAAACCTTAGTATTAGGCTATTCAGAGGTGAGCATTGACAACCACATACCTTGGATTCGGAGCGAGGATCTTCGATTGAATTCTTCGCAGAGGATCGATAGTAGTTTTCTCAAATTTGATTAACATTTTCCTGTGTTATACTTTATTAGGATCTATTCAATTAAGCAACTAACAGATCAATATTCAAAATGAAGGGATGCTTTTATTATTTTTATATGTAGATGGGTATAACTTTATTATCATATTAAGTTAAACTATATATATATATATATATATATATATATATATATATATATATATATATATATATATATATATATATATATATATATATATATATATATATATATATATATATTATTAGAAGGAAGTTGGTCTCATGACGTCGGAATAATCTTGGCTTCGCCATCAAGCATCACTGTTGTGGTGCAAGAACATTCTTTAAATTCTAGGTCAGAGTTCGTGTGCTGTAATTTGTTTATTGTGGTTAGCATATTTTTAGCGACGTTGCTTTCTGAACTATGGAAATGCTGACTTCATGTTAAACCCTCCTCATTTACTTGGATATATGATCGACAATAACCTTAGACGAGCTACAGGAATGATTTGAATAAACATTTATGTGCATTGTCTAGCCAAAGCAGTTTCGTGTTAACTGCAGTCTTCTGTTGCTATGTTTGAAGCTATTACGAGTTTACTTGATTTGCGAACGAGCATTAAGACTCGGTGACCAAAGACCAATAAGCTGGAGTGTTTATTCATAGTTGGAGCAACACCATCTATGAATTGACAACCAGAACATTTGCTTTCACTTCATCTTCTTTTTAGAAAAGTAGTAATAATTTGTAAAATGAGAATTTCACTCATCTTTGATGTTTGAGGGCAGGTGATTATCGACCAAATAAACAAATTATTATTAGAAAGCGATGTAGTTTTATTCTCACAAAGACTGATATTACACCCACGATACAGAATAGAGAATACCATATTATTTGCTTATTTGAGACGGAATGAGGTGATCAATGATAAACAAAGTATAATCATAGCTGATTCTATAAACGAAAAAGAGGTCAACACAAATATGTTTGCTCAATTAGACAAACACGTTGTTTACAATGAGATTGAAGAAGTAATCAATATTACTTTGAATATTTTATTGAATATGACAGAAATGACAGGACATTTGGCAGCCTTTATAAAACATCACAACCATTGCATTGAATCCTTCATTTGCGAATTTCCATCATTTGTCCATCACATTCTGCATGATTCTTGCAGTCCACACATTCTTTTTCCCCTTATATTCTCTTCAACTCGATCTTCGTAGCCTTCTGCTGTCAGGTTTTCCACTTCCGATCGGTGTTACAAACTACTTATATCGACAGACAGAAGTAGTATACACCACAACTGTGTGATTTTTCACTCCACGTTACTCGTTTTTCCCACTACTGATTTACGCTAGCTGGGGAAATTCTGATAAATATACAGCAAACTATATTTCGGTACAATTCGGGATTCCATCACAGCTCTTCTTTACATGCAATTGTTCACTCAGCCTTTCAGTCCTAAGACGTAATCTATGAAAATAAACCAATGAATCACAATCCAACAATTCGTGTTCTCAAAAATCAATCTCCTCGATGATGGATTACACATAGTTATCTTTGTGTTTCATCAAACAGAAGTACACATTTTGGTTTTTGTTTTGAATAAATGAAATCTACACAGATTGACTACTGTGATATTTTGCTATTCACTCATCTAGTAGATTGATTTAATCAACCAAATGTTGAATAGTAGTTCGATTTCTGGATCATTCAAAAGACATTGGTGTTATGCAGCTAATGTGATTAACATTCATATTATTCTACCAAAATCAAAAGATTCTGTAAGTTTCCTTTCCTTAACAGTTCTGAATTGAAATTAATCTGGTCCTGAGTGCCTTCAAACCTCAGTATTGTAGATATTCACGAATTGATCTGGAAGATTTCTTAGAAGGTCTATAGTGGCATATATGATTAGGGTGATATCAAAAATGACGATTCGACCTACCACAAAGTGGCAAATATTTATTTATAAAGTGAAGATGAACATGATGTCTGGGATCATCCTCATCATCACCGTCATCCTCATCATCATCAACTTGAAATATAAATTTAACATTCATTATGTTGACTTTCATGAAGCTGTCTTTCCAGTTAATTGATTTCTGACGATCACACTGCAATTCACTTGATAAGATGATATTCA